AACAGTCAAGCTGTGGATCTTCGGCCGTGGTTAAATAATTCGGCGTGAATTTATATGCTACTCCGATTCTGCAAACTGCACGCCGGATTTAATTTTCAGTCTTGGTACGAATTTCTAACGGAATCAGAGTAGTGATATCATAAATTGATTTGACAAGGGATTGAATAAAATTAATGTTCAAGGTATCTTGGAAAGATCTTGATAATCTGATAAGCCAATAAGCATCATAAAACTCGTAAATAATTTTATCGTGAAAATTATTACATCCTCGTAATAAATTGTAATTTATGCTAATTCATCACGTGTGATTCTCGAGTGGCCTTGATTTAGGGAAATGTGCGGACTGTTTTGCAGTCGATTCATGTGTAACACGATTGTTAGGTTCGCGTAACGTTGTAACATTGTTGGCGATCGCTCAATTTTGCAATCTCGCAATTAGCAAGTCCCACTCGACTTCAAAGTTGCATGTAAAATAAACGATTACCTCGAGGAATGATACATTGAGACGGGATGTTTACGGAAATGTAAGTACGTGTGCAGCGCAAAATGCGAGGTTGCATCGCGTCTTCAATGCCGAGTGCATTCCAAGTCCTTAGACACGATCCTTGAATATTTCCCTCATGCTTCTCGAGATACTACGTTTCTGTAATTCTTGAAATTTCCATTGGCATTGGGAAAATCCTTATGGCAATTTTTTTCCTAAATTGATTAGTGAACGTTTTTTAAAAATCGGATTTCCTGAAAAATCGAAAACCTTTTGATTTACAAGCATCCTCAATTTATTGCATTTTATCTTCTAAAGTGGTAATATAAAAGGAGAATTAATAAAATATTAAAATTGTTATAAATGTAAATATTATTTTTCATGAAACTATTTTTTAAATTTATTTTTCGTTAGATATATAAAACGTTTCAATTTGTGGAGTTTTATATGTAGAGTTGTTCTAAGTAGAAAAAAATATTCTTTGATTTTTTCTCTTAACTGAAAAGAGCGCTGAATAAAAATAAAGAAAACATTATCAATTAGAAAAAGAAAAAGTACAATAAGAAAATGGAAAGTGGCAATGTGAAATAAAACTTTTGCTGTATTTTCTAAAGCTGCATTTTCAAAAAAATTCTCAATGTTAAATTGAAAGGACAAGCATTTATCTTCTCGTCTATTTCTGTAACTTCTTGAATTGTTTTCAGACATAATTTTGAATATGCTGATTTTTAATTTCTAATTACCATCTCAATTAGACATTTTTTTCTTGAAACTACGAAATTTTGGAACATTTCTTCCGTTGTTAAAAAAAAATGCATAAAGTATTATATTTTGTATACCTAATGTTTTTACAAATTTGCCATGAGTGATTTGCGATACTTCGTTAACATGTATTTCTTTTGCAAATGTCAAGATATTAATAGTTTCCTTTTTAACTACGTATATATATCTATCTGTTAATGCTTTTTTGTTCAACTGCACAATTGAAAAAAATTGCAAAAATTTAGCGTTCTTAAATAATTTAAAATTGTATTTGACAATTTTTATGTAAGTAAACATTTCTATTTCGAATTTGCGTCATAATTTTAATTTATCTTAGGTTAATAAACTTTTTTTATTTCCTGTCTTTTCCTCATTTTTCCGGTTTTCTGACATTTACCAGTTTGTTTCTCATCAACAATTCTGTTATGTTTAAGACCGCAGCTTTTTTTAATTCTTCCGCCGAGCAAATCGGCGCGAACGCTACGATCGCACGGCAACTTGGATTCCGGCTCGCGTTCGCGAATTTTCGGCCGCGACGACAAAGGCGACGATCGCATTTCGCGAATTGTAGCGAGCAAGAATTGCTCGTGCGAGAAGTCCGATGCACTCGCTATTGACACCGTGTTACGATGCGCCAGTCTCCGTCAGGATTGCCCAATACTCTCTGTGCGTTCCGTTAACCGGTTGCCTCATCATAGTCATCGAACGGACGTCGTCGCCGACAACCGGTTGCTCTATCAGTGCCGATGAGAAGGAAGTCGATTGCTCATCTTTTTAGCTAATTGTTAGGTCTTCCATCGTCGTCGTTTCGCCCGCCATTGTCGTTATCGCGTCCAAGCGTTATCTCGCTGTTGCGCAACATTCGCGCGAGTGGATAATGATTATAATAATTATCACGTATCGTTCGTACGCCCTGCGATTATGCAAAATTATGCATCGCTTGTCTACTTGAATTACTCGACAGTCATTGAGAAACCATCTTATTATGTTATCAGCCAAGTGCAAGAAGAGTGCGATCGACTATGTTGCGACTATTTTCTTGCTTTTAATTGTGGAAACAGGCCATTCAGATATTTTTATCCTGTGATTCGATTTATTTACCGCGCGTTGAAGATCATAGAACCGGATCGTAGGTATTTTCCTCGCTCGCTTACAGCCAATGTAAAGGCTATGACGCATAATATATACAGTTGGAAAATTTATGTTTGATTTATTATATTTCTCCACGTGTTTCAAACAATCTATTCAAATTTTTTTGTGTTAATTTAACACAAGATGAATATATTAGAAAGTGACACAGAAGTATCATGTAAAAAGTTAGCACAAAAAATATAACACTGACACAATTTGTAAGCTGATTATCGAAGCATACTTTTTCAGCAGAATTAACATTTATGTTATCGGTCCCTTTTAATTTACTAATTGTAAGTTAATATTACATATAGAATACAAGGTAAAATTTAGAATTGTTATATCATGTCAGGAATTTTTCGGTTTATACAGAATTTTTATTATGCCTAGGCGTAATTATGATTTTTTAAATGATTGTTATGTAACAATGTAACTATAATAAGAAAATGACAAAAAATGCGATTTTTTTAAAATTATTATCACGAATGAGTTAGTTACAAAAATTATTAAAAGTAAACCAACTTAAGTCTGTACACCAAATGGCACTTGTACCGTTCTTCAGGTTTTCAAAAAGTTTATACCTTCTACAAGAGTGACATATAGTTTGTTTTTGTAAATAAAATAAACAGTCTTCTACAGAGAATATTTAAAATTTATATAAACTGCTGGTGATTCCGAGTTTTGTCACGCTTGATGAGTTATTCTGGATTTGTTACAATTCTGTTGAATATCAAAATCATCGCTATTCAAAAAGGGTAAACTTTTAAGGATTGTGACAATAATAATATTTAATCATGTTTTTTGAGAGTATATTTTTTATTATTTAATTAATAATTTTTTCTTTCCCCCCTCCCCTTCTCCCCCCCCCCTCATTAAGTTTAAAAATAGTTTTACCCTTTTCTGAAAAATTTATATTCTTGTTAATTGTGTCACTCTTCAAGTAGGAATGCTAAATTATTATGTATTTTATTCATTTTTCTTAGAATTTAACAATATCCTATTTCACATGTTTTATGTCCCATTTCATCCTGTTTTACAATATCCTATTTAACCAATATTAATTTAAAAATATCCTATTTTAATGTTATTTGTTCACTTAGTCATAGTGTTATCTTGACACAAAATGTACATAACATGAACATAACCATTTTACTTTAAGTTAACACTCGCACATGTGAAAGATTCGACAAAACATTTTAACAAGGACTTGAGTGGACTGGTTTTAACATAAACAAAAAAATGTTTTTTTTACCGTCTACAGGGTATGACGCATAGTAACAACTTTTGCAACGTATATACTAACAAAGATCGCCTTTGGCGGCGAGATGGACATTTAAAAATCGTAGGAACCGGTTTCCGATCCTGCGCACTCTCGCAGGTTACTCTCCCCGGTATCTCCCCCGCTCGAGTTATATTTATTTAATTTTAATCGGCTCGCTAATACATATCGCGTGCGCGGCCGGTTGCAAAATGGCCAATATCGCCGGGGCGATTTATTAAAATTACGACGGCTAATCCGCGGCTTATTTTGTAAGCGTTAATTTTGCAACTCGCCGGGCACTCTGCGCGAGTGTTGCGTAACGCACGGTCGCTGAATAACACACTACTAATAGCGTTAAACAAGCGCTTGAATAATGCTGAATGAGATGCAACGTTTGATGACGCAACGAGCACGGCGAGCACGATTGCCGGTTATTATTTTATATCGACGAAAGGAACGTGTACAACCCCGTCGGTCGTTGAATATCGTATTATGCCGCGATGAAACGCTAACGAACAAATTACTCCGCCGTTAGAGCCGCCGTAACGCATCCTTGTTCCAGTTTCGTCGGTCTTTTTTTTTTTTTTTCCATTTTTTTCCTATTTTTTTTTATCAGTCTAACCGTCGATTACGCAACACTCGGCGACGTTTCCCGTCCTGTCCTACTGAAACAAACACCGCGTCATTGAGGACGGGCGCCATTTAACGTGACTTGTCTCCGGCTGTAATTAATTCCCTTGTGCGATCTTATCTGTTCTTCTCAAGCCATGATTATGCGGATGAGTGCGCAAGTTCGAAGACTGCGTCGATATTAAACGCGAGATCCTTGAATTCTCGATCGTTGAAAGTGTTTAAGCGCACGGAGATTCGTGGTCGACCTTTGAGTTTTCGGATCCCCGTGCTTTAGGTCTTCTCAGTTGACACCTCGAGAAAAACTGTTTGGACTAATTGGGACTCCAAACTGAAGATTTATTGGTTAAATCCAAATTTTCTGGTTTAATTTACTAGACTTCTAGCTGGCCAGAATTCAGATTGATATAACTCGAATCAGAGCCAAACGTTTTTCTCAGTTTCATCAAATAAAAGTAAAGCAGCCTACAGGGTGTTAGTTAAGTAAGTATGTTGCCATACTCGACAGAGCGATTCTTTGGTTTATTTCAAGTAAAAAAGTCCGCACAAACATGTGTCCTAAACGGCTTAGTTTCCGAGATAAAAAAATTTAAACGTGTAGTAATAATAATCTGTTTATTTGAAAGAAATACAGCTTGAACTAGTCAAAAACTAGGAAAAACGAAAACAGGCTTCAGTTCTTCCGATGAAATAAAACGATCACATGCTCGAAGATACCAGGTGTGTTACGTGTTGCCTCGCATGAAGCAACTATTCGATTCCTCAAATCATTCTCATTCCCAATTGGGGTGGTATCAACCAGTGATTTCAGATTTGCCCCCAAAGGAAATAATCCAAAGGATTTAAGACTGGTGATCCAGGAGGCTTTGACTTTGACTTTGTCACTTTGTTTACGATTGTGCGAATTGTAACTCACGTGAA